TATCGGAAATGGAGAACTAACCTCTATAAAACCGTCTCAGATACTGGCTTTTGTCAAAGCCCGAAAACTATATGATGTGTTATATCTCAAAAAAGGGGGACACAATCTGTAAAGTCGCGGTGATTGGGGGGTTAATGATACAATTCATTCTATATTCTACTGCATATAATTCCACGTTAGATTTTTAAGGACATGCAACTTGGTTTCTTTTAAATCAATTTGATTGTCGGACATTATATTTATGTAGTCTCGTCGAAAGCCTGAATCGCATTATTGTATTTTTAAGAATTAATATGTTGTAAGCTAATCTGGAATTCAATATTTTTTACGAGATATTCAAAAAACTGGTAATATCAATAATTTCTTTTTACAAATTCAAATCAAATAAATCTGATCTGAGCAAGATTGACTGAATATGTAAACATATGAAAAAAAACAAAAAAATGAAACGCGATAAGTTAATTTGACATGCACTTTCGTTTGTAACAGAAGACAATTTTTATCATAACATATTTGTCTTTCCATAAATGACACCTTTTTTATTACGACAGCTTAAAAGCTTAATGGATATGAGAACGTGGAACAACCGAAATTTGTCATGGGGGTAAAAACTGACGCCATCGACCTTTCTTTCTAGATAAACACAGCTTTTTGTTGGTATGATGACGCTTACGTAAATTTATGTTCCTGACATCAGTTCTGAGTTCTGATATAATATAGAAAAGATATTTTCTTTTTTCCATTTTCATCAACTCAACGTCTAGATAATATTTTAATATCACATAATAATTTTAATAATAACAATTTTAAATAATTTGTTATACTAATGACGACAGAAGATTAGAGGTAGGCAAAGAGTGACCGAGTCGTTAATTTGAACGAGTATTAAAAATGGATCGTGAGATTCGATCCACCGTTTAGGATACGATCCGTTCAACTGAATCATGGCCAGCGCGGATCCATAAAATTTGAACGAACGAGTTGTAAAAAAGAGTGGTAAGAATTGAATCGGATCACAATGCGACTCGTTCGTTTCTACGGCTCGTTCGTTCATAGAGACAGTCGTGAGAATTAATTCATTGCTTACAATACGCTTTATTCAAGTGAATCCTGGCCAGCACGGATCCATAAAATTTGAACGAAAGAGATGTAAAAAAGAACTGTAAGAATTGAATCGGATCACAATGCGACTCCTGCATTTCTACGGCTCATTCTTTCAAAGGGTCATGAGAATTGATTCATTGCTTACCATACGGTTCATTCAAGTGAATCGTGGCCATCACGGATTCATAAAATTTGAACGAATCGTAAAAAAGAGTTGTAAGAATTGAATGGAATCACAATGCGACTCGTTTGTTTCTACGACTTGTTCGTTCAAAAGGTCGTGAGGATTGATACATTGCTTACAATACGGATCGTTCAATTGAATCGTGGCCAGCACGGATCCATAAAATTTGAACCAACGAGTCGTAAAAAGACTTGTAAGAATTGAATCGAATCACAATGCGATTCGATCATTTCTACGGCTGGTTCGTTCAAAGGGTAGTGAGGATTGATTCATTGCTTACAATACGGATCGTTCAATTGAATCGTGGCCAGCACGGATCCATAAAATTTGCAACAGCTAAGTAAACGTAATAGAGGTAGACCATCGACGCGCTGCTGGTGCGATGATTTAAAAAGAATCACTGAAAATTGGATGTTGACGGCCCGGAAGTGCGAGATATGTAGGAATTAAAGGAGGCTTATGTTCAGCAGGCAGCTGTGACGGCTATGCGATAATCATGATGCTCAAAATTGCGATTCTGTATTGACAAAAAGTTACTTCGCCGGTAAATTGAATTTCTTCTAACCTTGTTTCGAATGTCCGGATGAAAATAAGGCGTAATATTATGCAAGTATTGCTATTTTATGTTGAACACTATAATTCTATTGAAAAATAGTACTTTTTTACATTGAAAAATAAGATTGTCCATATAAGTCGTTGCAAAAACAAGAATGTCAAAAATAAACGAAGTAAATTTTCAAGAAAAATTGAATAAAAATTGATGTCAATGAGTTGACTCTTAATTTGTTAAAAATTTTCGATCAATAATTTGTTATAGCATCAGTACCTATCACCAATCCTAAAATCCTCTAACCCAATATTGCCAACTATTTCAATCATTGTTCATCGCTCCGTAGAAGTATAGTTAAAATATACTTCGATATTTTCCATCAAATTATTTAATCTGGTCGAAAAACAAAGGATTATAAAGCAAAAAACCAGCTTAGCGAACAAAACATCCGAAACGCCCCAATGCCGCCACCTCATTAATGAAAGTGTTTACCTACACATTAATTCCCCATTCAACGTATTTCGAAAACATAACCGGCCCTGACAACACATAGCTCGCGCGGCGAAAGCAACGATAAAGGGCCGCGATAGCCGAGCTCCTATCAGATCCAGCTGGCTCGATAACAGAATGAACATAGAGGAGAGGTAGAGAGAGAGAGAGAGAGAGAGAGTGTGGTAAATAAATTAGATACAATAGCTAATAGAGGCTGTAAATAATTACCTACCTGTTTTGTCGCGTTAGGACGACGCTATCCATCTACCCAGTGGATAGAATAAAGGATTTTTCCATACGAATTTATTGCAAGATTATTATAGTATATTTTACTGCTTATTGTCGTACTGTTTCAAAATGCATCATCATCATCATCATTTTCAGATTATTCAACCATTTCCAATTATGATGTAGCCTCCCTTACATACTCTCTTTGTAGTTGGGCACATTGTTGTCTATTGTTGGCTATGCGGGCCCAAGTTATCCCTGCTAATATCATGATCCATCTCAGGTTAGGTCTTCTTCTAGGTCTCTTAATTCCTCGTGGGTACCATGCTGTAATTTTTATAGTCCATCTATTATCCGTTCTTCTTGCCAAGTGTCCTGCCCGTTGCCATTTGAGGGATTTGACTCTATGGACCCATTACCTGGGTCTCTTGTCGCATCCACCCTAGTCTTTTACGATTATTCCCAGCAGAATTCGTTCCATTGAACGCTGTGCGACTTGCAGTTTCCTTTATTGTGTGAGTTTTAATGTTTCGCATGCATATAGATCATGACCAGGTTTCGCATGCATATAGATCATGACTTACACATCAGTTGAATGTTTTCTTCTTTAGATAGAGTGGTATTCTAGATTTGAATATGATTGAGTTTCTTCAATAAGTATTCCACGCTAACTTAATTCCTCTGTTGATTTCTGGTAGTACAGATCTCGAGCTGTGTATTAGTTGTCCCAAATATATATTCTTCTGCTATTTCCAGTGTTGTGTTTAGTGTTATTAGAATGCCCTCTTTCCACTAGTTCGTTGTATATTACTTTAGTTTTTGCTAAATTCATTTTGAGACCCAATTTATTGCTGGCTCTATTTAGTTCATTAATTTGTGCTTGTAGATCTTCAGGACTATTGGCAATTAGGACTATATCATCAACAAATCTTAGATGGTTAAAATATTCTCCATCTATTTTTAAATCAATCAAGCCTCAAAAATATAAACACAAATACGCGGAAAAAAACTACAAGATTAATTTCTTCTGACAATAAGTTAGTTACGATTATTTAAAAAATTATCAATATTAGAAAATCTAAATCGATAAAAGTTTATATCAATAGTGTCGTTCTCTTTACCATTGCAACACATAGATATAGAGGAGCGAATTTTCTAGTTACTTGGGTATAGTATAATCCCAACCAAAGGAAGCAAAGAGCAAGATATCATAGAGAGAATAGACAAAGCCAGAATAACATTTGGAATCTCAAATAATATTTGTAGATTTAGACTGTACTCTAGACTTAAAACCAAACCAAACTACACAACAAAAATAAATTATTATTTACATCAACAAAATACACCTTCTTAACGGCATTTAAGGGACATAAAAATATTCTAATAAAGTTGCGATGAGTTTTTTACGGCTATTAAGATATCTTGTACCCTTCGCACTAAAAGAGGTTCAAAAAAGAACAATGTTCGACTGCAAAGTCTACTAATAAACATTTTTAGCTTAACACTATTTATTTAAACCAAAAACTCGTAATACAAAACTAAAGTGTCAAAACGAATGGCAATGTCAGGAAATAAATAAATAAATGTGACAACTTGCCATTTTTTTACGGCAAAGCTACCACCTGAATCCCAAGCGGAAAATTTAAATTCCAGTTAATCAGCCCGGCGCCGAATATGTCCATGGTTGGCAACAATTAATTTAAAAATCGTGCCCTCGATTACGTAACTAAAAGTTTAATTGGTATCAAATATAGTTCTAGTGTTTTGCTATAAAATCCTCTCTAAAAAAACTACAAATAAAACAATTTTTCGAGTACAACACTACTTAGTACAAATGTATGACTTGCTGTTAATACTGGAACCCATTTTTTTTACTACCCAATCAGTCATTTTAAAGATGTTATTAAGTTTCTAGAAATGCGATAAAAATTTAAAAAAAAATGTAATGGCTGAAAAAAATTCAAAATACTGTCTAAAAATCCTTTGCACTATCATTCAATAAATTATTCCCCATTCACAAACAAATCGCAGTTCACAATAGACATATACTGCGATTAATAAATCATTTTTTACAGCCATTTCAATCTGCATTTTCATTAGTTACATATATATTTTTAAATTAATGACAACAGCTTATGTCAAAAACTATTTTTTTTAAGTTATCTATTTCATTATAATGTTTATGTTAAAAACAAATTCCACCAAATAAACTAGTTGATATGTTAGAGCTAAGAAAACTGGCATTGCCATAAATTTTCTAATATTACCGACAGGGTTAAATCGCTTGTCATAGTTAATAACGATCGATGGGCGAATTGCATTTCAAATTGGCGCGTTTAAGCTAAAGTGTAACATTGTAAATTTAATTACAACCTACCTCGTTGATTGCTTTGTACAAAACTAAGCGGCTTATATTAAACTACCTTTATATTTATCACTTACCATATATATTCCAGCGACAGGCTTATCATCTCGTGAGGATTGAAGATTGTCCTTTCCGTATCTTCGCCTCTCTCTTCCGGAGAAACTTTCGCGGCAATTTCCGGGTAATCCTTGTAATAATTCTTCCTTCGCAACATTTCCTTCATAAACAATTCGGGCACCAGCTTGTAAACTATGTCCTGTAGAGTTTTGTCCAACCTGAAAATAAAAGATACGAAACTGTAGTAACCACCGTTGAAACGTATAGATACAATAATAAAAGAAAATCTAAAATTATCAAATTATTTTTTAGGGTTCCGTACCCAAAGGGTAAAAACGGGAACCCTATTACTAAGACTTCGCTGTCCGTTCGTCCGTCTGTCACAAAGGTCTATCTTATGAACCGTTATAGCTAGACAGTTGAAATTTTCACAATAATGTATCTATGTTGCGGTAAATTTCCTCTTAATTAACTACTTCCGAACCCTGCTCGCATCTCCGCCATATAACAATACACGGCATATACGCAAAGTTACGCATCAAGTGTATTGTTATATGGCTTTTTCGAAGATGCGAGATATGAGCGATATGTGGTCAAGAATAGGTCCCCAGAGACGGCGCTGGTTGCCGGAAAGCAGAAACCTGCCTCCACTATGTTCGTACCCTTACGCTGCTATGACGTTGGAGCCGTAGTAAGGCAGGTTCGAATCCTAGTCAAGGAGACTTTTTTTAATCGTTTTTTTTTAAATTTTTACATATTTTTACTTATTTATATTTACTTTATACATATTTATTATTTATTAATACAATTTTTAGTAATGTGTTTCTTCATTTTCTTTTTTTTAAATTACTTATACGCGCATTCAAAATTTCAGCTAAATCGGAAAAAAAGTTTATAATAATATAGTGTCTAATGTTGTATAGATAATGAATGGTACGAAAGCCTTCGTGCGCGAGTCCGACTCGCACTTGACCAATTTTTTTTTCTAATATTTTCATTTGCATTGGAATTTTCCGGAAAACTCAAATATTAAAATTGTAGTTTTTTTTTAACACCAATGTTTAGGCGAAAAGATTAATCGAGTAAAAATATATTGACAGCAATTCCCTTTTTTAAAACGGATTCGTCCATTTTTTATACAGGGTGTGTCAGAAGGTCTGCTCTTTTTCGTTCTCAGGGCTAGTCTGGACGAGACCTACTGACTACTGACCTACTTTACGCGGAGTCTGATCCGTGGTCTTCAGTACAGGTGTTAAAGTAACTAATCGTTACTCGAGTACTCGTTACTTATCGATAACCGAGGTAACCGAGTAGCGAAGTAACACATATATACCGGATGTATCTCGAAAATGGCTCACCCCTTATAGTTTTTTTTTTATTTCAGATAAAAAACGCGATTTGGTATGTTAGTATATAACATAAATTGGGATTGATTGGCGTATTTAATTGCTTTTGGTTACTTCCTTTTTCACCGGAAATGACTACAACTTTTGATTTTTAAATGGCACCCTCGGTATATTTTCACTTTATTCGATAGAAAATTACACTCTGAATAGAATGACATATCATATGTAAACTTTTGACATTCTCGTTTAAAAACAAATCGCATTTTAAGTTTCAATCTAGAGTGCCATGGCTGTGTTAAAAACACTAATTTTTAATCAAGGAGTCTTGGAAAAATAGTTTTGATCGTCTAATGTTTTTCGCGTCTTATCCTGGCCGGTTAAAAGATGCCTAAATCGGATTTTTAATAATATCTCAATTTTTTTAAACGGAACAAGGGTGACTCATTGGCACATTTGGGAAAAGCATTTTTTTAAGAATAATTTGGTACCACAAGCTTAGTATTTCGAGTCAAATTGTCGTTATGAACCACATGTTACGTTTTAAAATAAACCATATGTGAAAAAAGAGTGTCACTTTCTATCGAATAAAGTAAAACTAATTTAAACCGTTAATAAACAATAATATAACTTAATAGCAACAAAACATGTTTATTGCGATACAGAAATAAAAAATAATAAAAACTGACAAACCATGTTCGGTAATAAAGACCAATTTAGCCAATAGCTGCAAACCCGTTCGCAATTTTATTAAATCGTCCATTCTAGCGTGCATACAAACATTGTTGCGTCGCTCGAAAACTAATTATTCGATATCGAGTACTCTCCCGGCAAACAGATGAAAAAACAAAACTCGAATCTCGAACGCGAACCACTACTCCCAAACAAAACAAGCCGAATAATGGTAAAAATAAACCTAAACGGAAACTGGAAGCGAATCAATTCAGACCGCATCTGCAAGCGGGTATTAGACGCACGCTAAATTACTCCCTGGAGTATTCCCGCGATGCCCGATCCCCCCATGCGAAACGAAATTGGGTTGCTGCTGTGGCTGCGGCATGGGGGGAACGAAGCAGAGAAAGGGTTGATCCGCCCCCCCTACTGCTTTAAATTAAAGCGCGAGTGTTCTGTCAATAATTAGGAGTAATGTTAACGAGACGGTTAGCACTCGAACCGAGACAAAGGAGTCGAGTGACATTTGTAAGACTCGATTATTGTCGGGCGGGGGCGAAAAATAAATGAATTACCTTCGTTAGACGCGTTACTCCCGTTACTGGTTCAAGTGTGGGAATGAAATTACCTGTCACCTGAATTTACCCACTTCGGCGGTTGTTTTATCCTTAAATTTAGCTTCCGTTTCAATAATTAAGCTCTAATTTTTATTTTGGACTACCTAAGTGACTTGGGACTAGAAGTATTTGGACCGAAACCTAACCTATCCAACTACAACGTACCCCAGCATCCTTCAGGCAAAAATCTCTAGTATCAAAGGATGCGTACAACTTATCTTAGATAGGAACTATCGGAAACAGGAAATAGTCATCTTATCCAATAATCAAGCAGCACTAAAAGCAATCGACTCAGTAACCATCAATTCTAAGTTGGTCAAAGAATGTTATGGTGCGTTTAGACTTGAGCACGCACGAGCTGAGCGTACGCGCACGGCATTCGCTCGCGCTCTCAGCTCCCTTTAAATTAAAAACTTATTTTTCGACAAATAAAGTGATCCATTTATGCGCGAACAGCAGAGTTGTGTTGGTGAAGGCACGCACGCACCCAGACAAAACAAATTGCCGGTGCAAACTGAGCGTTCGCGCACACATAAAGTCCCTTTGAGCACGGAACAAAAACCATATACATATAACTTTATATACTCAGCCTAATCTCTAAAAAGTGAAGCCCAAACAGTGAAAGAGAAATATGGAATTCTGCGTAAGTCTATTTCACCCGGATATTCATTTAACTGCGCATGCCTTACCTGAAGAAGTTTTCATTGGTCGATGTTTTTAAAGGGAAGCGGTTGACTGACATTTCACCTAACCTTCAATTTTATTTATATTTTTATTATTCATAACACATTATCATGGAGTTGGAAAAATATCAAAAAATAGTTGGAAACAATAAACTAAACAAAATCACTCTTTTACGCGCACAAATAAAAAGTAATCCAAACAGAACTAAAACAACAATCAATCGGAGTTTGGCGCAATCGCAGTTCAATCGATATCCGGGTGAAATAGACTTATGCAGCATTAATATGGAGCTGAGTTATGCTGTCTTTTTCTTACGGCACGGAAACAGCACACGGGGTTAAATAGGGAACACTGAGTATATATAGTTATATGTATATGACAAAAACCGACACCAGACGGCTCACGTTCGCGGCTGCTCGCGCACAGACAGATTCACAGTGAACGTGCGCGCACAGCCGAGCCGAGCCGTTTACACTTGAGCATTCGCGAAGGATCAGTGCGTGCGTGCTCAAGTCTAAACGCACCATTAGGGTTGCCAACTTTCAAAATAAAAAATAGAGGACAAGAGAGTAAAAAAGAGGCACAGGAGTAACATTTTTTGAAACCTCGCCCAAATGTCTAGAATTTACCAAAAAGTTATGTTATATGCGATTGATAGTCTTTCTTACTTTCATAAAATTATTTATATTCAAATTTTGTTGGAATAAAAGAAACAATTTTTTTTCAAAACACAACATCAAGTAAACATAAAATAGTTAAACATGTTTATTGCTTTCACACTCGGTGCTGGATCATCTAAAATAAAAAATCAAAAGTATATCGTTAGATAATCACTTTGCCCAGGTAACGCTGTTTTTTTTTGAAATTTAATTTTTTCACTGGGAGCACTTTGAAAAAAAATTGGTTTATTTGTTATTATAAAATAAAAAATATTAACAAATTTGAATAAAAATCGAAAACCCCCACAATGTTACCTAAGATTATATAACGATATAATTTTGATTTCTGGATTTCAGATGATCCAGCAGCGAGTTCTGAGGAGCACTGCAATTCAAGTTTTTTCCGAGACGCTCCAGAATAATTGCTGACATTGCCCTATTTAATAATATTTATCCATAAAAATTTTACACAATATTCTTCAAATGGGATACTATGATGTACCATTGGTTTAAATAAAACAATTTTAACTGTTTCATAAAAAAAATCACAAAAATGTGCCTTTTTTACACGAATTAGATTGAGGCTAAAAAAGAACGGCGAATGCAAATTTTGTGGGAAAAATGGAAAACACCAGAACACATCATCACTGAGTGCGCCGAGACGACAACCATTCGGGCCATAAACGGTACGACTGATATCGGAGATGGAGAACTAGCCTCTATGAAACCACCTCAGATACTGGCTTTTGTTAAAGCCTTGAGACTGTATGATGAGTTATAACTCGTTATAACTCAAGAAAGGGGGGACAAACAATAGACCTGTAAGGTCGCGGTGATTAACCTCCCTCCCAAACATTCCACATTCTAACCTAAGTAATTTATAAACAGGGTAAGCACTAGGGTAAGCAGGCTAAAATTGGAAGGTTTTTTTTTAATTAGTTTGGTCAACAGCGGAAATATATGCTAAGTGTAGTATTAGTAGTAAACTGTATTTTTTTATGTTCCCTGGCGATATTCTTTACGCACATCTCTTTAAAGGGAAACTTAAATTACCACACATGTACTATATCGTTTTGGCAAAATTAATATTGCAGGTTATATACCGATACTCAAAAACCAATTTATATTAGACAACGTATCAACGTAAACGATTGGTGTATGATAATGTGCCCTGACCTTTAGCCCTGCTTAATTGCGAAATGTATTGAACTTAATTAAGTGTATGTTCTTGTAGTGCCGTGCT